GGTCCTGCTACACAGCCAGAGCTCAGGAGGTTCAGGGCTGTGCCAGCCTCCTGCTGCCACCCTGATCCTGTGGCATCTGTGGGGCATCTGGAAATCTATCCCCCTTCCCCATCTGGCCCTGGAGGTGGCTGCATGCCCATGACCCTGCCCAGGACGGGGGCTCAGGTGTGCCCTGCCACAAGGGCAGGGAGGCAGACAGCAGGGCAGACTGGCAGGGTCGCTGGGCACAGCACCCTGGGGCTGCCTGGCTGGCTGCTGAGCACAGCCTCAGCTGCCTGCTGGCCTGTACCCTCTGTGCCAGGTCTCAGCAGGGGCAGACAGGCACAGCCAGGTGGGATTAGCCCTTTGTGTCACCCCACAGTGGCCCTGAGAGCATCCAAGCAGGGGACACAGCTTTGCCATGGCCCGCAGCCTGAATCACATCAAGATCCCAATGGGTACCCCTGAGTACAGGGGAGGCTGGCACATGGACCCCTCCCCGAAAACCAGCCCTGCCCCCACACCACTCTGCCCCGGCTGGCTGGTGTCCGCCAAGCAGGTCACATCCCTGCAGGACGGCACCCTGAGCATTCTGGAAAGGGCGACTGGTCGTACTGGTGAGCCTGGCTGTGGTAGCTCTCCCTCCGTTCCGGCACACCCCAGGGCTGTCCTGCCATGCTCGGTGTGCTGCTGCCACCCCCTGGCAGCCTGCACAGCCTCGGGTGTCCCCCGCAGCGCAGGGGTGTCCCGGTCCCCTGCCCCAGCCCAGTCCTGCCCCCAGACCAGCATCCAGCGGGATGCAGGATGCCAGAGGGCTCAGGAATTTGGGAAGGGTCCGCACCTCTCGCCCTGCGCCAGAGGGGAGCCTGTCTGTGGCCACCGCATTCTGGCAGGAGGAGGTTTCTGCCCCTCCCCGAGCCAGGGGGACAGAGTGGGGAGGGGGCTGCGGGGCTGGGGGAGTTGCCAGCCAGCGATGATTAGAAGGAGCCGAGGTTGCGTCCCAGCGCATTAAGACTGTCCCCGCTGAGTGCCACCGCCGCGGGGTGACCCAGCCGTGAACCGCCCACGCTCCCCCGACCGGACCCTTGGCAGCAGCACCGCCCTCCACGCCGGTGTCCCCGCTGCGTGTCACCCCCGCCCCGTCCCGCTGCCTGCGCCCCAGGCATGCGTGAGGATGCGCTGGCACCGTGTCACGGAGGGGATATGCCATGCAGAGGTCACACCTGTGTGTCTGGGGAGCACCGGCATCTTGTGACAGGCCTCCCTTTGCGGATACCGGGGCAACCTGGCTCTGGTGCCATCGCGGACCACGACCTGGAAATGTCTGGTTCCTGGGGACAGCAGGCACCGTGTCCCCACGAAGCCACCTCGCTGCAGGCACAGGGGCACACATGGGGAGCCATAATCCCATAGATGTCCCCGCTCACGACCTGGTGGCCCCAGGGAGATGGTGGCATGTGACTCACACACCCGCCCTGCGCAGTCCCCATCACATGGCAGGGGACACCTGCCAGCTCCACCAGCCTTCCTTGTGCCACATCCCTGGGCACACGTGGCACAAAGGAGGCGCGGGGTCCCCGCTGCCCGGCCGTTCCTGAGGCAGGGAGGAATTCGCTCAGGCGGGCTGGGGGTGGCATTCGGGGAACGCGGCGGACAGGGCTGAACTCTTGAACCCGCACCGGCAGCTCCCGCCGGGACCGCATGCCAGGCGTGGAGCACCCCGTGGCGCCCAACGTGCGAGCAGCCCCCGGCCGTGCCAGACCCCCCTGCTCCCCTCACGGTTCATCGGCAGGACACGGGAGAAGCTGTGACACGTCCCTTCCCGCCGTGGCTGGCGGGCGAGCAGGAAGAAGCCGGTGGGGGCGGCAGCCCCGAGACCCAGCGCTGGCTGAGTCCGAGCAGCTCATCACACCCATGTCCACTGCGGTCGGGGGGCGCGGGTGAAGCCCCTCTGTCCCTGCGGCGAGGGTGGGACACGGGCTGCAAGGGCCCCGCGGGACGACACACCTGACACTTCCCGGGACTCCTCCCGGGACACCCGGACCCCTCCCGGGACACCCCGGACCCCACTCAGGACCCCCCTGACCGCTCCCGGGAGTCCCGGTTCCGGCCGCGCGGGGGCGCTGCGGTGCCCGCTCGGTGCCGGGGGCGGGGCCGTGGCGCGCGGCTCCATCCGCGGCCTCGCGGCGCCCCCTGTCGGCCGTGGGCGGGGAGCTGGGGGGGCGGGGCACGGGCACGGCGCGCGCTCCCGCCGGTCCTGGCGGGGACAGGCCCCGCCCACCGTGAAGCCGCTTCCGCCCGGCCGCGGCGGTGCGGTTGCGTCATCAGTGCGCGCCGGACGGGAGCGGCGCTGGGAGCGGGAGCGGAGCCGCTGCCATGGCCGGGATCCTCTTCGAGGACATCTTCGACGTGAAGGACATCGACCCTGAGGGGAAGAAGTTCGACCGCGGTGAGTGTGGCCCCGGCCCGCTTCTCCCGGTCCCCGTCCGCCCCTCCCGCCGGCGCTGGCCCCTCCGCGTGTTGGCGGCCCCGGGAGCGCCCCCCCTTCCCCGGGCCTTCCCCGGCCCGGCTGCTGTGCCGCCCACAGCCCCGCGGGCCCTGTGGCGTGCATTCCTCGCCCCACCGTGTTCCTCTCCCTGCCTGTGCACGCCTCTGTCGGCTGCCGACCTCTGGCATCCATCCCGAGCCCACCGAACACGGCTCCGGTGCCAGCCTGGGCTGGGAAGATGGACCCTGTTCCCACCTAGCCCTCGGGGATTCTCTGTGTCCTTGTCCCTGACTCTCTGCTCTCCCCAGTGTCGCGCCTGCACTGCGAGAGCGAGTCCTTCAAGATGGATCTCATCCTGGACGTGAACATCCAGATCTACCCCGTGGATCTCGGTGAGCCATCGGCACAGGCGGTTTGGGTGGGCGAGGGTAGAGGGGGTAGAGTCGGGAATTGCTGTGATCTAACAATAAGCTGCCTCAGGCTTCCTTGTGCCGCTGTGTTGTCCCCAGGTGACAGGAGGCTCAGAGCACTCTCAGGGTACTGAGACTGAGCAGGGTTTCTGCGTCACCTCTCTGTCATTTGGGTCACCTCTGTCCCTTCCCCACAGATGCTACCTGGGGAAGCTGCTTCAGCTGGTGGTTACCAGGCTTTAAGGGAGAACTCCTGAAATTAACTTCTGCAGCTAAATACACAGAATGTGTGAAAAAGAGAATAGTCCCTTTATGAAACACAGAAGGGCTGAAGCTGATGCTGCAGGGGCTCATGTACCTGCCCAAGGGTCCAGCCAAGCTCTCTGGGGGGATATAAGTGAATATCTTCTTGTATCCCCTGAAAACACCAGCAGTGGTGTCCTTGTGGCTCTGGTTTTCTCCGTGATGTGGGGAACAAGGAGGACACACAGGATCCAGTGTAACCTTTCACACATTCCCACAGTCCTGTTGGAGGGCTGGCAGCAGGGACAGAGCTTATTCAGCACCCCCTGCCAGGGTGGCCCTTTGCCCCCGCTGGGTTCTGGCTGTGTGTGCTGCTGCTCTGGTTGTGCTCTGCCCTTCTCACTGCTGCTCTGGCCTCCTCACAGGTGACAAATTCCGCCTGGTCATCGCCAGCACCCTGTATGAGGATGGCACCCTGGATGATGGCGAATACAACCCCACGGATGATCGGCCCTCCAGGTACAGGGCACGGCTGGGATGGGCGGGAGACAGGGACACAGAGAAACAGCTGAGGCTGGATGTTTCAGGCTGGACACTAGGAGGAATTTCTTCATGGAGGGGGTGATTCAACATTGGAATGGCTGCCCAGGAGAGGATGGTGGAGTCACCATCCCTAGAATTGTTTAAGGAAAGGCTGGATGTGGCACTCGTGCCATGAACTGGTGTTCAGTCGCAGGTTGGACCTGATGATCTGGGAGGTCTTTTCCAGTCCAACTGCCTCTGTAACTGGGAGGTACCTTCTCCCAGAGGATACTGAGCTGGGGGAACGGCCAGGTTTGATTCCTTGCTGACCTGAGGCTGTGCTGTTGCAGGGCAGACCAGTTTGAGTACGTGATGTACGGCAAGGTGTACCGGATCGAGGGCGACGAGACCTCCACGGAGGCGGCCACGCGCCTGTGAGTGCCTCGAGAGGGGGACACAGTGCCCTGGGTGGGCTGGGGAGCGCTGGGATCTGGGCTGGGGACTCCCATGGGATTCCCTGCTCTCACTACTGCTCTCCTCCCACCTCAGCTCTGCCTACGTGTCCTACGGGGGGCTGCTCATGCGGCTGCAGGGAGACGCGAACAACCTGCACGGGTTTGAGGTGGACTCTCGTGTTTACCTGCTGATGAAGAAGTTGGCCTTCTAGCACACCTCCATGGGCTGCCCCACAGACATCCAGCTGGAGCCCTGAGAGCCGACATTCTGCTCCAGCATCCATGCTGCCCAGCCTCTTCAGAGCTGAGGAGGTAGGGGCAGTCCCCCTCCTCATCCCAGTGACTTCTGACTCCTGCTGGGATCCACGTCTCTGTTTGTGGGAAGAGACGTGCCTGACATCTGAGTGGACACCATGCTGGATGCTCCAGTCTTGCCTGATGGCATCTCCTCACCTTCACCTGTGCTCAACAGCCCTGGCACTGTCCAGGAGCAACCAGTCTGGGACAGCTGCCTGCCTTCTTCTGGGGACCATTCCCTCAGGAGCCATCCTGAGGCAGGCTGCCTTGGTTTTGATTAAACTGGGTTGTTTTGTACACCTGGCTCTGCTTGCTGAGAGACAAGGCTAACAGGGAGTGGATACACCTGCACAGGGGCTAGGTGGGGAGGGACCCTGCCACTTCCCAAAGGATAGGGAGTCCAAACCTGCAGCAGGTGGGTGCAGAGAGGAGGAGTGGCAGCTCAGGCTGTGCCAGGGGATCCTGCAGCACTGGCAGCTGCCATGGCTGGGAGCGAGCACTGGGCAGAGCTGGGATCATGTCCAGAGGGCCTGGCTTCTGCCCCAGGCACAAGGACACACACAACTCTTTAGAAAAATAGCTCTTTAATCAAAAAGCATTCACAGTAGAGGTGCCTGCCCAGATGGGAGCAGGGCCTGTGCCTGCAGGCACGTGAGTGTCACTGTTTGCCTCCACACACTGCACAGTTGTGAAGACTTGAGGAACAGGTGCCAACCCCTTCCCCGTGGGCATCTTCCTGGGCACCCAGAGCACAGCTTAGTGTCCTGCAGGATTGCTCCAGCATTGCTTTGTGGTTGAACCCTGTGTGCAGCCTCATTGGGCCCCGCATGCAGGGTCTCTGCTGTCCCCCTGTCCTTGCTTGCACGAGACTGTGGCCAGGTCGTAGAAGAAGAAGCGCAGCTTGCCCTGTACCAGCTGCCGGTAGGTGAGGAAAATGCTGGGGATGTGGGTCTGCTCCATGGAGTGTGGGGAGCAGCTCGGCTCCCAGTGTCCTGTCTGAGAGTGGGACAGAGGGGTGACAAACACCACTGCACCCAACCCAGCCCAGCTGGCACTGTGCCGGGGTGGTCTGGCTCGTGTGGGGAGGTCTCACCTCCCAGCTGAAGGTCTGCAGGAGCAGGAAGAAGGAGTTGGCGTGTCGGTAAAGCTGGCTCAGCTGCCTGGCCCCGCACTCGTTGCTCACCTGGCCCTGGGCCCCTGCTGCAGCACCCAGCAGCAGGGCCAGGTCACACAGGATCTCCCGCCGCTTGGTCTCGTTCTGGGGGAGCAGACAGTGACCCCCCAGGACCTCGTTGCTTTCTGTGCTCACTCCTTAGGATGGAGTCCTCTACCCTCCCTGTGCCACCAGATATGCCTACAAGCATCTTGTTCAGCATTTCTGGTGCTTCTGCCAACCCAAGGTTCCTTCTCCAGTCCTGTTAGCACGCCAGTTCCAGCACCCTCCTCCCAGCCCCTCTCACCGATTTGGATTTCCACTGCTGGAAAGTGAAGTCCACCAAGGGCAGCACTGCAGGGCACCTGAGTGCGGGCAGGGCCTGGCACTGGCCCTAGTGAGGAGAGATGTCAAGGTGAGGTGCCAGGAACTGTGCATGTCCCTGGTCTTGGGTTTTGTGGGGACTCTGATCCTCACCACTCTCTTTTCCATGTCCTTGGCCTCCACGATGTACTTCTGGATGAGCCTGTTGTCACAGACCAGCCGTGTTGGGCTGGCACGGTCCTCTTTCACGTGCAGGAGGAAGGATGTGAGGAGGAGCAGTCCTGGAGGAGATAGGGTTGCCTTGTGCATTGTGCCAGCGTCCCTGGGCAGTGCCAGCCCAGAGCCACCTGCAGTCCCCTCCCCGGCCCTTTGGTGACGGCCCCGCGGGGGGAGTGCAGGGGGCGGTGTGAGAGGCTGAGGAGGGCCCGGTGCTGCTCTCCGGTCAGCCAGCGAGGGGTGCCGGTGCTCACGGGGGAGAGCCGCGCTTTCCGTGCCGGTGCTGTGCGCCAAGGGGCCGCACAGCCACGTCTGCCAGGTTTTTCGGCCGCGCTCCAGGCAGGGAAGCAGGGCTGTACTCCCTGTGCAGCCCAGGGCCAGCCCTCCGGATCCCTGCCAAGAGCGGTTCCAGGCGTCATGTGCACTTCGGGGAATCCCAGCCTGCAGTGTCCCACAGGGAACATCTGCTCCTGGCCGCTGCCCTGGCTGAGCGCTCCCCTGCCGGCTCTGCCTTGCCCAGTGCCACTGCACACCACTGTGCCCAGCAACTGCCCACCCTGACAGCTTCTCCATGCCCTCTCTGCAGCCCCTGCCTGCCTTGCTGCCGGCCCTGGCACAACACCAAAAATCCTCAGTGCAGCCTGTTTGCCTCCGATGGCCATGGAGAGATGCTCAGTTGCTCTCACAGGCTGGCACTGGCCAGGTCTAACTAGCCCAGAGCCACCTTTGGGGTTTGGTGCCCAGCTGTGGGACTCATCGTGCAGGGCACGCTCTGGCTGTGGGGCCACAGTACCCATAGGCCCTTCCTGCGCACCCGGTCCCCCCTTTAGCCACACACTCACTGTTCAGCTCCATGCTCGGCTGGGGGCTTCGGCCCTGCATCTTCCACCCTGAGGCCGG